AAGGCCACGGCGAAGGGCGGGAGGGGGCCGGCCTGTCACCCTCCGATGTAAATACTGTATCTTTCTCTGCCCGCCGCTTTCGGTCGGGAGCAGCTGACGAAGCTTCCCCCCTCACCCCCAGCCCCGCCAGCTTCCTTCGCTGCCATTGTTACAGCCTTTGCTCGCATTGCTCTTTTTGCCATGACCGTTAAGCCGGACTGCGTCGAGATGAGACGTGGTGCTTGGGCATTTTCCACGGGATCTGGCAATCCCTCTGCATTCAGTTCCGCTTGATCTCCGGAGAAGCTAACACAGCAAGTCTTTGGCTGCTGCCTCTAGTCGCTCCGGAAAATGCCTGTTGCTATGTCTGATCATCTTCCGTAAGCACTTTTCAATGCATTTTAGGAGTGAATTTCTTTGTTTTCATCTCAGATGTGGAATAGGATCATGGTCTCTTAAGGAGAGAGAGGAGCTATGGAGCAGGTTGGACAGCAGACCAGAGGAACAAAGATCTAGTCTGTAGTCTAGACCCATACTGGACTATGGGTCCAACTTCAGGAGTTTAACAAAAAACACTTTGCCATACAAAAGTCAGCAGCTGACTTGGGTACTTACTAAAAAATAAATAAACTATAAATCATACAAGCATACACCTGCTGGCTTCACTGGATGCCCTTTGCTTTTGCATTGGAAGGAGGAGTAAACAACAGATCCCTACTGATTTATCCATGCTACTCATGAGTCTTGTTTTCGCAAGTTGCTTATCCCATACAGAACATTTTTAGTTGGTTTTGGTCCTTGAATGCTTAAAACAAAAAAAATCCTAAAACTTCCAGTATAGCTAGCAGAGATAGAGATACTGTGAGTGAAATCCTGTCCCTATTGGCAAAGTAGAACTTGAGCAAAGTCCAGATTTTGCGTTTTGTTTTGCTCAGGAAAATTCAATCTTCCGTATAACTTCTTAATTTCTTTAACTCAGATTTTAACTTAGTTAATTTATTACATTCCTTATTTAAACTCTTAATGCCAATATTGCTAAATATTTTTTTTTTTTTTTGAAAGTGTATGCAATAAAATAAAATACTATTTCATCCAATATATCCAACATCCAGAAAAAAACCTTATTGTCAGGTAAAGGGAATAACCTGAGAAATGAATATCATTTTTGCTGTGAGACAAATTTTAGGTTGGAAGGCTAAATTTGCCTCGGCCTTAATCCGTTGTAACATGCAGCAATAGGTTACATGTCAGCGAGGGCTGAGTTAAGCTAATGTATAGTGTGCTCTCCTTCCTATAATGCACTCTCCAGGTTAATGGCATGCATCAATTCTGCTAATATCTGAGAATGAGATGGTGCTCTCTATGCAGTCCAGAAGAAAAGGAAAAAAATTTCCTTTTTGGAGGTGGAGAGGGGGAGAAATTATCTTGCAGTCATTGTGACTGCAGGGAACAAGCTTATCACTACAGCCACAACAGGAAAGGAGAAGGTCAGGATGTCACACCTCCAAGACTGTGAAATATGTTGAGAAACAAAGTACCAGAGTGATGGTGGCACAACAATTTATGTATGCGGGACAAATATGATGTGATTTAAACTCTGTCTAATGATGCTATGACCAAGCAGAAACGGGATGAGAACTCCATTTCTATGCTCCTGAGTTGCTAGTGGAAATATTAGAATACCAAAGCAGCTAGAGTTAACAAAACCCAATTAAAGCTCAGTTTTCAGATAATTTTCAATATTTATAGACTGGATAAGAAATGCACATTCCTCACCTGACCTTTTCTGATGGATAAGAAGCCCGGAAGCTTCTTTAACATGCTTTAATTTCTGTCACAAGCAAAAGGCATTAAATTCCATATTGCTCTTAAAATCTTACCCTGTCTCTTCTCACAGACATTTCTATCTCCATTAGTATCCACTGCTCGCTACTCGGTTTATCTTTACTGAAAACTCCCAGTGATTATTTTCATTCAAAAATAAATCCAGCTTATTTTGAATGTATCCAAATATTTGGATCTCTCTGGAGTAAAAGGTCCTAGAACTGGCAAACCCCCTTCACTACTTTACGCAGGTAGAAAACAGATTTTTAAATGCCTATGAAGGTTTTCTGATGACAAAGTAATGCCTGACAACATATCTGAGCTAAAGGAGAAAATGGTTTTTCTCAAATTTTGTAAAACTAAAGAAATAAATACATATGAATATTTGCATCAAAAATATTTATTTCAAAAAACAAATTTTTGAATGAAAAATCTTTTCATCAAAATAACCAAATCTTTAGCTTGATAACCATATTTAACCAATCTTTAGCTTGATAACTGTATACTCTGGCAAGAATTAGTTAACACTTTCTACCTATCCTTAGAATTTCAAATCTTGGATAAGCTCTGATTGTATCACTTGTGCCTCAAAGATATTCTATTTACTCAACAAAAATCTGGTCAGAGAAAAACCCAGAATCATTTGTCAATGAATGTCTCATATTTTATTTATATTCTCCACACAAAAAGTACTGTTAAGTTAAGGTTATGGCTAAGAGAAATTCCTAGGAATGTTGGAACATTTTAATTTTTGGGATCTAAGTGAAAATAGGAAAAGAGAACAAAGAGAACAAAAGAGAAATTTTTCTCTTACAAAAACGAAAATGAAGGCCAGAACCTCCATTTCTAACATGTCACAGGAGACCTGCAGGAGTCAAAAACTGCTGATGACCTTTAGTGGTGTCCTCACCTCAGATTAACACAATTTATCGCACTGGCATTAAGGTAGTAGCAAAAAGACGACAATTTGAGTTAACAGGTAGTATTCAACCTCCCTTTAGAAAGATGCTACTTATGGTTTTTCCGTGAGCATTGCCACCACCACCCCGCCCCGTTCATCTCACAGGGATCTGGGCAACACACCTGACAAGACATGAGAATTTTGCTGGTCTTCCACAGTCACCCATGACCTTTTATGTTTGAAAAGTGTGCATACTCCCCTTTTATAGCGACAGAGTTTACTTAGATAGCCGTTTACTTTCTACTTTCTTACTCTCTCTTCAAGGAAAAGATAAAAATACATTTTCTGAAATGAAAGTATAGGTTTGCAAAATTTTGGCATAATTGACATTTTTCAGCAGTGGGTTGAGGCCCAATTAAATGATTACTGATAATTACTTTGCAGTTAGATTACTATACTAGTTTTTAACTTTTTGACTTTTTATTTACTTATATCAAAAGAAAAAATTAGAAGACTTTTCAAATTCCATTCTCCCATTTCTGTAATTTTTTAATTCAGCAGCTGTTTTTCCAATCATTTCAAATGATACAGAAAAATTATACCTTGTTCCACACAGTTTAAGAATACTACATTTTCTGTGACTGAAGAGCAAAAATAGTCTTCGAATGGCAAAGGAATTGCAACAGCTATGAAATCAAATCCTGCTGTAGTTTCCACAATTATTTGGGTTTTCCTTTCTTAGAAGAGACAAAGTAAAATTTTTTCTTGAAATAACAATGACATAATAGCTATACTAAAAAATTAAGCTTACACATAGGAATATAGGAATTCCTATGATTTTATTTGATGTTTAAACGTTCTTTCCATTTAGGTATTTCTCCTTATTCTTTTTTAATAGAAGAAGAATATTCTCCTTTTTCTTTTTTAATAGAAAAAGAAAACTTTAATATACAAAGAAATGCAAATTTTTTTCTCTCACTTTACACCAGTGTAAACGAGGAGTAATTGCAACAATGTCAAGTGAAACAGCTGTTGGGTAATGTTAAAGCATAAAGTGATTAAACACTTCATAAAACTATAGTTGTCGTGATAGACAGCATGACATTCGGTCAAAATAAATCCTAGCAAAAATATTTACATAAGTTAGTCAAAAAAACACCTTGTCTGTGAATAATTGGCTTTTCAGAAACATTTGAACATGTGAGAATGTTTGCTTTCTATGCCAAATGCTTTTTACTGAAAAACAAGTCCTCCCTCCCATCTTACCCTTCCTTTCGAAAAATCTTAACTGAAATGCAAGAATAGTGCCACAGGGAGATTGTAGCTGAGGTTCTTATAGATTAGCCTCTTTCTAACCAATAGGCCACATTCCCCTAGTAGACTAAGTCTCCAATGATGCATCATCTTCGTTCTTTAAGAAGAAAAACTGCAATGCATGGTAGGAAGCCCCAGGCCAGGGAGCTTATCCTATAAATGGAAAACGGGTAGGTGAGTACTTGATCTACGGGTCCAATGAGATATCACCTCTATAATTTCCAGAGAGAAACATTTTATTTTAATTGTTGAAAAGTCAATATTTTCTTGGTATATAAATCTGTTGTTTGTATCATTAGTATTAAATGGCAGCTGAGAGATAACTCGTGAAAGCAAGCAAGATAACCAATGTTTTCTATTTTAAAGATCCTCAGAGGTCTTCTGAAGCGACACTTGCAGACATTATGGACTAAAAGGAGCTACCAAAGCTAAATTGTCCTGTCCTTCAGGGGTGCTGACACTTGTTATTCCTATTGGCCTGAGTAGGAATTTTGAGCTTATAGCACCTTTGAGCATCCCGTAAGTTTTATTTAAGTAGTTACTTTTTAGGCACTCAAGTCTGAAGAAAAAAAATAATTGCCTATTTAGTGTAATCTTATGAAAACATGTGTTACTTGCAGCACTTTGGGTTCACATCTTAGAAGCATGTCTGTGCTTAGAAAAGTAGCCTGGAATCTCCCGAAATCAATCTGAAGTGAAAGTTCCATAATGAACGTAGAATTTACTACAAGTGAATTAGCGGAAAAAGAAGTGCAAAGTAATTCCAGAATATCACTAGTGTATAAGTAAGCATTCCTGGTAAATAAGTCACTCATTTATAGAAACAGGATATAAATAAATGATGTTTGAGGCTTCTTTCAAATACTTAAGAGTTCTTTATATGATACATTTTAGAACATTCCACAGCATCTAAAATATATAAAAATAAATATCTACAGTATTTACAAAGTATGATAACAATCCAATCTTTAAAAAGACCTGTAAAGACATGTTCTTTAGCTCATACTGAGGTAAGTAGGTTTCTGTAAGACTGAGAAGAAATAGGAGAGGCAGTTGCTTTGAAGGAATCCCTTTGTCCGGTTGTTGTAGTCTGTAACACAGCTAAAAGCATGTGCAATTCTCTGGTGGTCTTACATGTGTTGAGCCAAAGTCATCCTTGCTGTA